TTTTTTTTCTGTAAAAATACTGCACAGAGGGGTTACAGTTACATGAACAAGGTAATAAGTACATTTCCAATCAAGCATTGTTGCCTCCTCCTTTGTTTTTCCCCTACCATCCCTTCCCTCCCACCTCCACAACTATACTCCTCCCCCCACCTACATTGTAAACTTTATTTTTCAACACAGTGTCTTGTACATCTCATTGTTACAATGGATCAACCTGTATCCCTATTTAAACATTTTGGTTTTTTTTCCCTTCCCCTCCCCAAATTAGACCAACATCAAATACAGTGAAAACAGGGGTTATACTGGGGAAGGAACATACAAAGTAACAAAAAAAATCACATGGTACATTATAAATACATTAGAAACAACAGGCAAGAAAGAAAAAAAAAACACTTGTGTCCCTATCTTAGGCAGTGTTTTGTTTCTTGCTTGAGGTTTTGGGGGATGGGAGGGAAGGAATTAGAATGTCGTTCTGGTAATATAGCATTTTTGAAGATAAAATATCAGTTAGAGACTTATTTCCCAATGTCAAGAACAGAACTCTTTCCTATGTTAAAAAATATTTATGAAGGGGCTGGGAAGGTGGCTCAGTGGTAGAGCGCTTGCCTTGCATGCATGAGACCCTGGGTTCCATTCCTCAGCACCACATGAGCAAAAAGAAAAAAAGCCGGAAGTGGCGCTGTGGCTCAAATGGTAGAGTGCTAGCCTTGAGCTGAAGAGCTGAGGGACAGCACCCAGGCCCAGAGTTCAGGCCCCATGACCGGACCCCCCCCAAAAAAATAATATTTGTAAAGAAAATTGTAGACATTCATTTGCAAGAACTGATGTCATGAGAGCTCAGAAACATTTTGCCAACTTCTCTCCAATGAAAACATTTTGCACAACTGTGATAGGATATCATGCTCAAGGTATTGAGACGGATACCAATTTATTGACACTTATTTAGACTTCTCCAGTTTTACTTGTACTCATTGTGTGGAGTGTGTGAGGGGAATGGATTTCTGTAAGTGTTTTTTGTTTTGTTTTGTGTTGCATAGTTTTGGTGCCGGTCCCGGTGCTTGAACTCAGAACCTAAGTGCTGTCCTTTAGGCTTTTGTGCTTAAGGCTTGCATTTCAAGGCTGGCACTGTATCACTTGAGCCACACTTCTAGCTTTTTGGTGGTTAATTAGAGATTACAATTTCATGGATTCTCCTGCTCAGAATGGCTTCAAATCTTGATCTTCAGATCTCAGCCTCCTTATTAGCTAGGATTACAAGCTACCAGTGCCAAGCTTCTGCACAGTTTGCCCCTATGGACCTTCGTAAAGGTCTAACCATCACTGGCTATTGGTACATGCTGCTAATTACTGCTTTTTCCAGTATTAGAGATGTTATTTCATTTTCCAGGTGTGGTAGTGATAACCACCAAAAGCAAGCCCCACTTCAGCCCTATTGCTTGTATTTTTGGTTGCTCTTTGTAAGATAGGGTGTCTCTCCCCTTATCTGAGTTACCTTCAGACTTAAAATCCTCCTCCCTTTTCTTCCTGAGTAGCTATTTTATAGGAGTTAGAACAATAGCAGATGCCCTGCCTTTAAGAAAATAATCTCTCTTTGAATGTGAGGATCACTGATTGTTTTTGGTGTAGCCCCTTATGAAAGCATGGCCTAGAGCTTTCTTCTGGACCTTGCCTAGAGATGGTTCATTCATGTTTAAAAAATGTAAATATATGTTGTTCAAAAGAATTGAAAAGTAAGAATGTCTTAGATATTTTCTTTTTTTTTTTAATATAGAGACCAGTATTTTTTCAAAGCTTACATCCTTATTCTATTTACTTTCAAATACAGTATATGAAAGTACTTCATAGACGTTTGATCTTTGGAAGGTAGTGTGCTGCCTTTGATTAAAAAAAAAAGTAATAAGGTGATCACTTCCTGGTAGAGGTAATCATCAAAGCTTGCAAGTACATACTGGCTTTCGGCTATTGTATTTGTAACTGCTCCAGCCCGTCACTCATCCATCTGTTCCCATCCTTTCTTCCCCACTCCTGCCCTTTGTTCTTCCCCCCTTCTCTCCTTCTCCTGTCCTTTCTCTTATCTGTTTCTCTTTTTATCCCTCCTTGTCTCTCTCCATACCCCACAATTATTATGAAAGACAGTTTTATGAACTTCTTTCTCTTAGGATCAACATTTAAAGCATTCAACTTTAATCTAATGGACCATGACAGAAAGTGGTAAAATTATAGTAGTTGTGGGTTTTATTTGGAATCTAATATACTCTCTGAAAAAATGCTAGAGATGATTCATAAATTCTTTGAAGAGGAGAAAACAAATAAAATTGCTGTGTTTTCATATAATCAGAGATGCCCGTTAGGAATTTATATCTTCTAGGTGTTGAGATTAACTTTTTCTGCTTTCCTTTGGCGTTCTGTATTTAATAATTTGAAAAAGAATATGTCCAAGGAGTTGATGGCATCTTACCAGTGCATTGATATGATAGGGATGATGAGGATAGAAACAGAAAACTGGCTTCTGATATTGGAATTATCCATCTTCTACACTCCAGGTCCCACAGGACTCTGAGTAAATGTGCTATTCAAAGAAGTTAAACTCTATGGTTCCTTTGGAAAGAATAGAATGATAGTTGCCATTTTATTTTAGCTGATTTATTCACTTATTCATGTACTTACCCATATTCATTGAATACATATGGTGTTCCATGCATGGAAGTAAAAACACCTTATGACGCAATACTTTCTTACAGTGAATTCACATGGTTGAATTTATTGTGGTTGACCCCTAATGGACCATTAAACTTTAAAGGTCTTCATCCTTCACACTGAGCTAAGTTTTCTTCAATTCATTCACCACTTCTCACATACACATCCATTCCCTAAACCCTCAGAATCTGAGATATATCCTGGTTAGTGAACAAAAGTGGGAAACTTATTATAGCAATGACCTTCCTGAGAAAGAAAAATGCCATCCTCTTCTTGGGATATACAAGGAGGATATGATCAGCATTTGCATGAGACTCTTAACTAATTACAATAAGGAAGAAGACAGCAGCCTGCATGAGGAAGTTATGACAAGGATAAGGATGATAGAATTCCACAAGGAAGCCAGCCGGACACAGTGTGTCAGGAATTGTGGGACTAAACATGAGAGGTCTGGAAAGGAATCCAGCTGGGAAGAGTTGTAAGACACCACTGGAAGAGTTGACTTAGACATTTTTACTAATTCACTTTTACTCTTACAACTGTTTTGTTCCATCACCTTCTCTTTGGACACTTATTTTACCTTATGATGTGGAGGCAAATAGCCAGAAAATAGGAAGTTTGTCAAGAAAATACATCCTAGACCCTGCTATTGTCATTGCCTGTGAAATGGTGTGTATTTCACCACTGTAGGGATGGCTGTTGCACCATTACTATTGTTCATAATGAAGACCCAGAATCATTAGGAAGAGAAGCAGGACCATAGCTAACCTGTTCCAGAACATTTTACATAAAATAGGATGAATGCAAAAGTTTAAGGAATATTCCAGTTTCTAAAAGTTTTACAAATTGATAATGGTAGCATATTCTTTCTTACCATCTTTGAGAGATCTCAGTAAAATAAGGACTATATTCCATTTTGTATATGTCTTTTCTAGTTGAATAAATTTCTTCACTTAAAACAGGACCCAGAAGGACCTTATGAAGTACTGTGTATGCCAACCTCATTAGTCCCATTAAAAATAATAATAAAACCAAAACCAAAAACCTTGCCTACTGCTCTTTGTTCTTTTCTACTTCTATTAATGAATCCTCATCTAAGGTTTATTCATGATCTGTGTTAGGCATTTATGAGTTTTTGCCTTTGGCCAACATTGAGTTAATTTGGATAATTATTTCATTTGGTATTACATTTCTTTGAATTGTTGGAATATACTCAGTGTCACTACTGCAAATAAGTCATTACTGAAGCTATTTCTGGAGCAGTTAGTGTAAAACCTCTGAAGGAAGAATGCCTTTTCTTTACAAAGTTACATTAGACTATCACCGTTCCTTGAGACCCTCACACTTAGTGTGTAGCACTGGAAATGGGGCTTAACCTTCTCATTCTGGACAAAGGAGTTTGTTTGGGATAAAACCAGTTTTTTGTTGATGCTCAGAAACACTTAAAGGCTTTCAGCTTGTCTGGAACATCGTGCCATTTGATGTCTTTCATTACTGTTTGATGAAAAAGAAGCAAGTAACAGAAATTTTAAAAGCCACAAAAGATTAAGTCTAAACATAGCACACTTTAGTTGTAGAGACAAAAATGACCAAGTTTATGACAAGGGGTGATCCAGGACACTTCCACTATATGTGTAATCAAAAAGCTTAAGAAAACATATAGACTAAAAATATAGCATGACTTTCAATAATGTGTTAATATAGTTATATTATTTAAAATGTCAGTTTTATTTGTATTTCTCATTTATATACTTATACACATATTTTCATCAGATAGTCTTTTTATCTGTCATTAGAATTTCAGGATCAGAGAGTTTAAATGTTTTAAAAGGATTTTAGCTGGGTGCTGGTGGCTCACACCTGTAATTCTAGCTATTTAGGAGGCTAAGATTTGAGGATCATGGTTCAAAACCAGCCTGGCTAAGAAAATCCATGAGACTCTTATCTCCAATTAGCCACCAGAAAACTGGAAGTGGAGCTGTGACTCAATGTTGTAGAGTGCTAGCCTTGAACCAAAAGCTCTAGGTCAGTGTCCAGGCCCTGAGTTCAAGCCCCATGACTGACCCCCCAAAATAGAAGAGAGTAAAAAATATTATTGCTGGGAGACTAAAGTAGAAAAACAATGAAGCTTGCTTTAAATTTGTCCATTTTGAATATTGACAATGAATTATAAAATTCTTCCAACACTTTACTGAGATAATTGGATAAAGCATAACTAATAGCATTAGTGAATGCATAATTAATGGCATTAACAAAGGTCATAGAATAACTTTTGATTTTCTGTCTCTTTTTTTAATTTTTAGATTTGTAGCCAAACCATGTGCCATTGCCCTCAACATCCAGGCCAATGGACCACAGATTGCCCAGCCAAATGCCATTCTGGAAAAGGTCTTTACAGCAATTACAAAGGTAGGAGTGTCCTTTCCTGGGTGCCTATGGCCCTGTTACCCTGCTCAGTCTCTTACCATCCCATCTCTTTCTTTTCTCTTGGGTTTAGAGAATCAATTTCCCTCCTACTGGAAAGTGGGGTCTCAGGGGGGGGTGCAGGTCTTATGGTTGGTCCAAAAGAGTAGATTGATATTAGAAGTGTTGTGAAAAATGGTCTTGATTAGATATGTTATTCCAATCCAATGCCTTCTTTAGTCTGAGGGACATGAAGCAATCCATAAGAGCTGGGTGAGCCTTCAAGTAAGTGAGTGGACAGAGCTGAAGTGTATAACTTGTGTATGTGTGAGACTGTGGGACTGGTGTCTTATAAGTGTCATCCACACATCCTAAGAGTTGTGATAAGTAGACAAAAGTGAGCAATAACAGTAGACTATGTTTGAAAAGGAAGAGTTGCAATATGAAGGAGTGCAATAAAAGAGACAGATACTCTCCATCTAGTGATAGCCAGTGTCCAAACTGGAAGGAAGCACTAGGAAGGAGAGAAGAAGAAAGCCTAAGTTGATAATGCCTGAACTTAGAAATCTTTAAAGCTGGGTCTGGGAAGGTGGCTCAGTGGTAGAGTGCTTGCCTTGCATGCATGAAGCCCTGGGTTCGATTCCCAGCTCCACATAAACAGAAAAAGCCAGAAGTGGTACTGCGGCTCAAGTCAAGTGGTAGAGTACTAGCCTTGAGCTGAAGTGCCCAGGCCCAGAGTTCAAGACCCACAATCAACCAGAAAGAAAGAAAGAAATCTTTAAAGCTGTAAGAAAATAAAGCAAACTATAGTCTATATATCTTAGTTTCTCTCTCCTTCCTTCCTTCTTTTCCTTTCCCTCCCCCCATTCCTTCCTTTATTCCTTTGTTCATTCCTTTCTTCCTTCATCTTTCTCTCTCTCTCCCTCCCTTCCTTTCTTCTTTCCCTTCCTTCCTTCCTTCCTTCCTTCCTCTTTCCTCCTTCCTTCCTCTCTTTCTTTCTTTCTTTCTGTCTTTCTGTCTTCCTCTTTCTCTTTTTCCTTTCTTCCTTCCTTTCTCTATCTTTCTTTCTTTCTTTATCTTTATCTTTCCTTCTTTTCTTTTTTCTTCCTTCCTTCCTTCCTTTCCCTTTCTTCTTTCTCTCTCTCTTTCTTTCTTTCTCCCCTTACTTCCTTTCTTCCTTCCTTCCTTCCTTTCTTTTATTCTTTCTCTCTCTTGCTTTCTCTCTTTCCTGAAACTTGAACTCAGTGCCTCATCCTTCCCTCAGTTTGCTTCCTCACAGCTTGTGCTCTATCACTTGAACCATGACTCCCAGTTGGAGGGGGTCTCATACACTTTTTCTGCCTGAGCTGGCCTCAAACGTCTATCATTCACACTGTAGCCTTCAGAGTGTCTTAGATTATAGGTATCAGCTATTGGTACCCAGCTTTATTTTTTGTTTTTGTTTTTTCCTGAGGCACTGAGGTTTGAACTCATGGCTTCATGTTCACTTACCTTGCTTGCTTGGCTGGCACTCTACCACTTGGGTCACATCATATCTAGCCCTACTCTCACTTTTGTAGATATTGCATGTAGCTTATTTTACTCTTGCCTGAACAGAAAGAAGAAAAGAGGATGACTGTAACATTCTGTGTGTTCTGATATTAAATGGTTCCTTTTGCTCTTCAGTTTTCTGGAACAATTTCTCAGGCTTCTAAGATGTGGTTTGACAGTGTTAAAGAAAGTTCTGTTCATTTTTGGGTATTTGTGATACTAGCCTTTGTCCTATTTGTTCTTTGTCTCACCACTAATTCAAATATCTAGATACTTGTTTATTTTATGGACCTTATTTCTGCCAAAATGCTCTAGGATTTTGCCATCCTTCAAGAAAAATGATGTCTTTCCTGAAAAAGCATAAGGAAGTAGGAGGTTAAAAATGTTTTAATATCTTTGCAAAGAAAAAGAGAAGAATGGATGAAATTTTAGGAAAAGTTCTTTTAGTAGTTTTGGGGGTACAGTTTAGATTGCTGAGTTCAGACTTGAAGTAACACATATCCTATAATATTTAAGCAAGAAAATATCCATCAAAAACTCACATTTTTCATTTAGTGTGTCAGTTCACCTTAAGATAGTAACATATTTTCTGTTGTAAGACAGACACATAGGGAATTATTAGGTTCTTTTTTATTTTCCCCTCTCAAATGCTAGGGATTAAGCCAAGGGCCTTCAAATGCTTTGTAAGCATTTGCCAAATTATGTTGTAATTGGTCTGTTATGTCATGTTAACCAGAGCATGGCAATTCTCAGAACAACTTCAAACCTAGGGGCCCCTATCCTAGTGTACACATTGCATTCTAGCCACTAATGTCCCCTTTTCTGCAACCACTGCCTGATATACTGGCTTGGTCATGGGAATGGCAGAAAAATTCAGGTAGGCCTCTCCCTTGTCTCCTGGACCACTGTCCCTACCCAAGGCAGACAGATGGCCTCCAAGGGCACTGCAGTTAGGCAAGAGGCTCACCTTGCTCTGTCACCCACCAAACACACTAAGGTGGCTGCCTGCCCCATACAGAAGTACTTCAAGAAGAATAAGCCAAACCCCAAGCAGTTCCCTTGTTGGAGATTAAAGCTGTCATTAAATAGGACACAAAGGAAAGGTAGGTGGGTGCTGGGAATCAGGGCATGAGGTGGAGCCTCTCTGGGGCTGTGGCAAGAGCCACATGAGCCAGTCTCTGAATTTCTGAAACATTCTCCATTGCCTCATTGGATTTCGCTTGCAAAACACAGATTGCATGATAAAGTCATGTAGAATTTCAAGATGGCAGCCATGAAACTTTAAATCCTAAGTTGGGCCCTTCTGAATGTGGGGCCTGCCCTATGTGACTGTACTGATCAGCTTCCTGACTATACAAATCTCACCTGTGACAGTGGCTGATATATTGAAGGTTACAGCTTTTTTTGATGGTTAATTTGAGATGAGTCTCACAGACTTTACTGTTCAGGCTGCCTTCAAACTATGATCCTCAGATCTCAGCCTCCTGAGTAGCTAGGATAACAGGTGTGAGCCACCAACATCAAGTATGCGTTTGTAATAATTGAAGTATTTCTCATGCTTCCTGGCATTAGCTTTTGTCTAGTTTCTTAACCTTAGTAGACTTTGTTTCTTAACCTTTAATCTCATTTGTAACCATCTTTGAGTAACTTCCTCACAGGCTTTGATAAGTTTTTTTTTTTTTTTTTTGCAAATCTTTCAGCAAATGGCATGGTATCTATCTGGGAAGCATTGTATATCTAGAGATTCTGGTTCCATATTTTTAGGATGAGACCAAAGAAACCATAATTGTGATACCAAATAAACAGAATGATTATTTATTTTAAGTGAATTTGTTGATTGCCTGTTTGCTGATTATATTCAGAGTTATGTGGATCGATCTGTCTCTACCTATTACCTAACTGTCTACTTTTGCGGATTCTCTTTCCATGTCACTAGCACATATCTATGAAACCAACTACTCCACTTTTCTAATCAAAGAAGTACTAAAACTGTGAGGGGAAGAATATATAGCAGCCATAAAGGCAGTTTTCATGGCCCAGGGAAATTATATCATAATTCACGCTTGGTTCAATAGACTATACTTAAAAATTGTTGGCAGACTCTATATAATTTGCTCTCCATTCTCTTCTTTTTTGAGGAGCCTGTTAAATCATTGCTGTTAGCCAACTAAAATACTGGAAAAGTTTGTGAGTTTTGAATACACTTAAACTCTAGAACTAAGAGAGAGAGAGAACAGATTATTAATGTTGAATGTTCTATAAGGTTGAGATGAAATAACTTTCACTGAGGGGAAAGGGGGAAAAGGTGAGAAATAAAGTTTACTGACTGTAATCTCTACTGTGTGGGAGTTAGTTTATCAGTTAAGGCTAGCAAATCAAATAGAAGCCTATTTAACAGTGGGTGAACAAGAAAGATAATATTATTTACAAGTACAGGGTGGAGGAGAAGGAAGGAAGAGGAAATAATGTTATTTTTAAATATTGCTTATATGAGATTGGGCTGGCAAGTGGATAAGAAAAGATAGTAAGATATAAAAATCAGAAAGGAAAGACAAAACTCTTGTTATTTAAATAAGTATTTATTGAGTTCTACTATAATGGATGCTAATGGAAAAAAAGAATTTTTGAAAATTCCTTTGTCTATGGAGCTTACATTTCAGTAATATTCTATTACATATCATATACATGGGAAGTTAAAGCAATGGATTGATAAATTACCACATGAAACCTCAGTACAAAATTAGCAACTAGAAACTAGACAAATATATGCATACGTAGAAGCAACAATCAAGTAAAAGATTTTAAGGAAGTATCCTCTTTACAATGTTAACCAAAAAGAATAATATCCCTAGGAATGAATATAATCACCATATTCAAGAAGTATATAAGGAAAAAAATATTAAACACTCTTGAAAGACAGAAAAGACAAATTAAATAAAGATGTTAGTTCATCCTACATCAATTTAAGAAATTGATGTGACCTTATAAAGAACACCCAACCTTGTTTGGTTGACCATTTTTTGTTTTGAATGTAGATGAGCTGATTCTAAAGTTCACATAAAAAATAAAGACTTCTATTGGGTACCAATAATTCCCACCTGTGAGCCTATCTACTCCAAAGGCGGACATTAGTAGGATCAAGACCATCCCGGTTTCAATAGACCCTATCTTAAAAGTTACCAGCAAAATATCAGGGCTGGAGGTATGGCTCAAGTGACAGAATGTTCAAATAGCAAGCAAGAGACCTTGAGTTCAAACCCCAGTACACACACACACACACACACACACACACACACACACAAATAAGTGCTTCGCTTCTAAGAAAACAAATGACATACTGCATATTGTTGACATATGATTAAATTGACCTTATCAATGAGGGAAAGGTGAAGTATAACCATATGGAAGAAAGTTGGATTCATACTTCAACTGAATACCAGTGTATATTTCAAGTACACCAACAATTGATTTGCCAAGTACCAGTGGCTCATGCCAATAATCCTAGCTACTTAAGAGGCTGAGATATGAGAATCAGAGTTCAAAGCCACCCTGGCCAGACATGACTCAGGTGGTGAAGTGCCTGCCATGAGCAAAAAAGCCAAGCAAGTCTAAAAGGCCCTGGGTTCAAGTCTTAGTATTAGGAGGGAAAAAGATTTGATTGTATTAAAACCCTAAATATGTTAAGGGGAAAACCTAGGAGATTTTGTTTTTAGAGTAAAGAAGGTTTTACTAATTAGAATTCCAAATTTGTAAGCTGTTTCAGAAAAGATTGGCAAATTCAAACTTGTTCATATATATTTTATTGTACTAGGATTTGAACTCAGGGCCCATATAGGCAAATAATTATTCTATCACTTTGGTCATACCACTATTTTTTTGCTCTAGTTATTTTTCAGACAAGGTATTGTGATTTTACCCAGAGCTTGTTTCAAACCATTATCCTCCAACGTATAGCCTTACAGGCATGTGTATACATTTTAGTAAATATCTACATGTTAGATAATAAACAAAAAATAATATATTCAAATTTTAAACCACAGAAACCTACTGGTATAAACCAGAATAACCGAAGAAATCCTACATATCAATAAATGCCAACATATCAAGAAAAAAATCCATAGGCACAAATGTACTTTTAACAAGAAAACAAAGAAAAAAATCGGTTGTTTTCTTTTTTTGTCCATACTTGGGATTGAACTCAGGCCTTATACATGTGAGGCAAGTGTTTCACTCTTGAACTATACCTCCAGTTTTTTTTTTATTTTGTTTTTGAGTCAGTGTCTCACTACTTTTGGCCAGACTGGCCTCAGATTTGTGATTCTCCTGCCCCTTACTCCCGTGTCTGGGATTACAAGCATGTACCACCATGTCTTTCTTTGTCAGTGATTTTTAAAACACATTGTAAAATGAAGAACTCAAAGTTCAGAACAAAGTCTACAGTTTGCATTCATTTGTGTCGTGAAATGGAGATTAAAATAATTCATATTCAACTTTGATTATGTTTATATGTAATATAACTATAAATTAAATATTAATAATATTAATATAGTATATAAAGTAACTGTTCTTGCCATTAAGGAAAGGTGATGAGGGACTAGACAATAGAAGCAGAGGTGTATGGAAAACTCTGGACAATATTTGTGTGTGTGTGCCAGTCCTGAGGCTTCAACTCAGGGCATAGTTGCTGTCCCTGAATTTTATTTCTAGTGTTCCACCCTTGAGCACAATTCCACTTACAGCTTTTTGGTGGTTAATTGGAGATAAGAGTCTCTTGGAGTTTCTTGCCCTGACTGGCTTTGAACCATGGTCCTCAGATCTCAGCCTCCTGAGTAGCTAGGATTACAGTGTGAGCCATTGGTGCCTGGCAGCAATCCTTATTTTCATAGACAAGGAGACTGAGAGTCAGAGAGGTCAAAGTAATGAGGAACATCTGTCCCCTCATCAAGTTTGCTTCTGCAAGTAATGTGTAATCTTAGCAAAAGGCTGGATGAATGAGATGGTCAAAAGAAAAGGTAATAGAGGATATATATATATATATATATATATATATAAAACATGTGTACATCTATGATCAAATATAGGATCATACATATGTAAGGCATTTACATACACATGTGAAAAAGTCATCATGAAGCTTATCAAAAGTGTACAAGAAGAAAAAAAGGGAGATGACCAAGAAAAGGAGTAGGAGGTGAGAGGAGGATGAGAGAAAGCATTTTTGGTGCTAGAAATGGTACCTTTGGCTCAGGTGAGGCTTTAAGGATCTCATGGTTTCTGTCTGTCCTATATTATCCAGGTAGGTAACAGCTGGGCACACCAGTTGTTTTCCTGAGAATATATAATTTTTTTAACTTGAAGCCTTTTGATAGATTCTCCTTTACCACACTCCCTCCCCTGGAAAGCTCATTGATCTGCTTCAACCACTAGGTTACATCAAGTCCTGGTTGTCTCTGAGGAAAGACCTCATCGATGAGAAGAATTGCAGGCATCTGAGCCACAGCCATATATTTCCATTTCATTTCATAATGAGTAACTTAATTTTGCATATTTCCGTCCATGCTGCTAATGACACTAGTTCCTGAAATCTCAGTAGCAGATAAAAAAACATAGAAAAAAATACAGAAACACGCAAAGTAGATCTACTTTGCTGAAAATAAAAAGGGATTGAGAAATGATTGTCCTGGTATCTTGTCTCAGCATCCAGATGAGAAAAGGTTGGAAGGCCTTTCCAAACAACTGGACTGGGATGTTCGAAGCATTCAGCGCTGGTTTCGACAGAGACGCAACCAGGAGAAGCCCAGCATCCTCACAAAGTTCTGTGAGAGCATGTAAGTTTTGCTCCTTATTTCCCTTCTTTTTGAATACCTGCCTCAGTATCTATTCATACCTGAGGTAAATGGTAACAGTTCCACATAGTTTCCTATTTCTCACATGCTGTTTGGTGGAAAACTAGTTCTGGGGGAAATTAGGGGAAATTATAAGGATTTGGGGTTTCTTGTTGGGAAACCCATTTCTTAATGAAGTTCCCACAAAATAAGTAGATTACAGAAGTCTACCATGATATTTTCAACTAGCTGTCTTGGAAGTATAGCATTAAAAGTCATTAATCCCAATAGTTTTAGAATTTTTCAAGACTTTTTTATTGTAAAGCTGATATGCAGAGAGGATACAGTTACATAAGTAAGATCATGAGTACATTTCTTTTCGAACAGTGTTACCCTCTCCCTCATTTTCTCCTGCTTCCTCTTCCCAACTCCCCTCCCCACATGACTGCTTTTTTTCCATTGACAAAAATCAAGATCTTAGGATAAATGATCAGATGGATCAGAACTGTTCTATAGTCTTGAAATTTGGGAAATCTTAAATTTACATTCTATTCTGGGTGTGGTTAATGAGGCTTTGCCTGAGGTAAGGGTTACAATGAAAGTCTATTCTGTTTCCAGTGTGAACTTTGTGTGCTATGTTATATGTTATAAAGCTGTTAAATCTAATGAAAGCTCCTCAAAGCAACCTTCTAGCTCAGCACTTGGGGAAATCAGAGAAGAAAATATTAAAGCATGGAGCACAGCTCTAGTAAAGGGAAGATGTTACCGGAGAATCTTAGCTCCATTTGGTCTGTATCTTTTGTTCTTTTGCTGAATAATTCTTTCTTTTATGAACTTTGTTCTGACACCTGATAATTTAAACAATAGTGCTCTCAGTATAGCAAGCTGTTTGAGATAGTTATATTTTCAGGTTTAGCTTTCAAGTAGGCCAGAAAAAAAATGTATCAATTATAATCTGTGAGGGAAACAATGATATTGGAGAGTGAGTGGGAAGCAGAATAATATCACAAATTCCCAGGGTTGGATAAATATGAAGAGAATAAATAGGATCTCAGGAGGCCAGAATATTTATAAAAATCTATAGAAAGAGCTAACTATTAGATATTCTCTACAAAGCCACCCTATAATTAAACACAGTGGCTGTTTGTGGAAGGATGTATACATCTGTGCTTCTGATAAATAGCTGCATTTCCCCTGACCTCACCTTGCCACATATGCAGATGACTGGACTCCATCATGAGTTCAGGCAGCAGTGAAACTTGTCTTTGGCATGTGACCACATTGTTGTTGGATTTTTTTCCAGATGTGCATTGGCATCTGCTATCTGGAGATCTTTGTCAAATGTAGATTCCAATTTACCTGGTCTGGGATGACAGCTAGGGTTCTGCATTTGTAACAAGTTTACAGATGATACTGGTGATGCTAGTTCCTGAAAACATTGTGAGTAGCAAGGACCAAATGATACATGTTGATATCTTTTCCTGGATTTTCCCTGAGTTTTATGTATGTACCACAGTAAACAAGACAGTCACACGACAGTCAACTAAAAATATAACTAATAGAAGCATGGTAACAAGAAGGACAATGGCGGGGGGGAGGGGGTCCCTACATAAAGTATTCATTATGATTTTCCCCACAAAAACACTTATTTATTAGGAGGATAAGCCCTGATAGTTGATGGTACATGGTAGGTATTAAATGATAATGAAATATGTTTTATGGAATCATTAGTGTGGACCATTAATTACTAAAAATTAAAAGAAAAACTTCTGTGGGTTGGAGGCATGTGGGCTTGCTTGGTCAATGCCAGTGGCCTACCTCAGTTTTGCCGTGTAAGACAGTATTGAGCTCTTGCTTGGTGTTCTCTTCTCCCTTGGCTCAGGTTGGAAGTTGAGTCTTTCATCTTACCAAATACTTCTGTTTGCATCATTTATTCTGCATTTCTCCTGAAGTCTTCTATGTGCTACTCCTCCAGACTTAGTCTTCAGCCTCTTGCTTTCTACTTCTCATTTTCTGTGCAGAAACTGTTTCTTCTCATCAACTTCATCCAATGCAGATGTTTCTTCTAAGGTATGGTTTTGCCCTTGCCCACTGGCAACTCCAATTTGCTCCCACTCCTCTTTCCCTAGTGGTTATGTGCTCTGCTTTATAACAGGCCAGAAACTCCAAGTACTCAGCCACTAAGTAAATAGACTACTATATCCCAGATCCTGATCACCCTTCTAAGTTTCCCCACATTCTGCTGCTTTAAAACCTTTATGATTTTTCTATAACTCTAATATATGTAGAAGCTTCTCAGTTTGGCCTGGTTAGCCTGGCCTTCACTTGTTTGAGGTTAGTCCCTCAAATGACCTCTTCCTACAGGCTATGTTCTAGGCTAAAAATACCTACTTCCTCTGCTTACACATTTATCCCCTCCCCATTTCTGAAATCACAGCACCCCACTGAAGGAGGCCTGATTGTGGAGTCTGTAGTGAAGTAATTTCTGAATCCTCAGAACATTTTTTGTGAATATCCATAATGTAATATTGAATCACATGTTGCTTTCTGGGGTTACTTTATTTCTTAATTTGGCTATGTTTCTATTTCCATGCTAGTTATAGTACAGAAGAGGGTCAGGGTCATATCTTGCTGTTACATTCTTCTCAGTCTATAACATACAGACTCTGCTGAAGAAATAATTAAGTGACATGTGAACATGGCGCTTTTCTGGAAGGAGGTGCTGACCCCAGTTGCCGTTTGGTTCCACAGTGAAGAATTCATATATACACTGACTTAGCAAAACATTTTCTGACAAATTACCTGAGTCTGAAAAGCTCCACAACAGTTTTACAGATAGAAAGTCAAAGGAAAGAACCCAGTGTGATAGTACACATCTGTATTCCTAGCTATTTTGGAAGGGAGGGTGGGGAAACCTCTTGAGTCCATCAGTTTGAGACAAATCTGTATGACCTAGATTCTATTACAACACAAAACAAAAACAAAACAAACAAGGAAGAATGGCTTGCCAAAGGACACCATGAAGAGACTATCCCACCCGAGTGTGTCTGGTCCAGTTGAAGGATGCAGGTGGCTGTCTGGACATGCTTACTCTGGGAGAAATGTCCCATGTGCATATCATACAGAATCCTTACTTCAAAATCAATGACTAGCTGGGAGCCAGTGGCTCAGGAGGATGGGATCTGAGGACCATGGTTCTAAGCCAGCTGGTAAGCAAAGTTTATAAGACTCTTATAATTAACCACCTAATTAACCACCAAAAGCCAGAAATAGAGCTATGCCCAAGTGGTAGGGCACCATTTTTGAGCAAAAATTCTCATGGGCTGGGAATGTGGCTCAGTAGCTGCCTAGCATGCATGAAGCCCTGGGTTTAATTCCTTAGTACCACATAAACAGAAAAAAAGTGGAAGTGGTGCTGTGGCTCAAGTGGAAGAGCACTAGCCTTGAGCACAGAGAGGCTCAGGGACAGAGATTAGGCCCTGAGTTCAAGCTCCAGAACCTGCAAAAAAAAAAAAGCTAGGGAACAAAGCTCAGACCCTGAGTTCAAGCCCCAGATGAGCACCAGAAAGAAAAAAAAAGATAACTGCTATTCAGAAATATTAATATCAAATTACAAAGCAGGGAAGACATATAGTAGAACCTTGAAGATAAGAGACCAAGACATAAAGAATTTATAGTTTTCCTACTATGTGAGTTATTTTACAAATATGGACTCCCTTTGCAGGCATTGTTTCATCTTTCATCAGTGTGGAATAGTACCAGTATGCACGCCAAGCAATGCTCATAAGCATCTGCTGACACATCCAGATTTGGCACCCCTATTTAATGCAGATGAATGGAGTAGAAGAAGTTGTTCAGTAAGTGATGTGCAGAAACATCAATGTCATTTTTCCCCTCCTACTGGATGTCAGTCATCCACAGCTGTATCAGTTTTGATGACTATTTTTTCCAGCAGAGTTTATATACTTATAGGCAACTGAAATAGGAGTTTTCAAGAGTGAGAGAGAAGAATTTATAAAGTGAGACATCATGTGAAATATTTCAGGAGAATATGATTCAGAATGGAGGCCAATACTGGTTGGATCATCCTGAACTCACACCATTCTTCCACAATTGCAACTGAGTTATATATTTTAGAATCCAGGACAGCATAAACTAAGTACTATCTGCAGTAAGAAAAATCAGGATGAGCCGGGTGCTGGTGTCTCAGGCCTGTAATCCTAGCTATTCAGGAGGCTGAGATCTGAGGATTGTGGTTCACAGCCAACCTAGGTAGGAAAGTCCGTGAGACTTTTATCTCCAATAAACCACTCAAAAACTGGAAGTGGCACTGTAGCTCAATCAGTAGAGTGTTCACCTTGAGCTGAAGAGCCCAGGGACAGCACCCAAGCCCAGAGTTCAAGCCCCATGACCAACAAAAAGAAAAAAGAAAAAAAAAAAGAAAAAAAATCAGGATGAAACAGAAATAAGCAGATTCATGACATTAAGATAAATGGCTCCCTTGACATGTGTCTACCTGTGCTCATATATTTTGATCATGTGTCATCACATTTAGAACAAATGCCCGGGGGTAATTATCTTATATAGCTTTCATTGAGCAGTTTCCAATTGTCTGGGAGAAAGAATTACTCATATGGGAAGGATTGTTCACATATTAGAGATTGGTACTAATGTATTTGAACTGGAGTTTCTATGTTAATAAACTTACGGAATCTGATATTTTAAAAAGATAAAGTACCCAAATTTCCTTTGCTTTAGGAAACCATTCCAGAGTTGGTGTGGATTAAAACTGTCCCTGAAGGCCATTTTTGGACAGTGCCACATTTGAAAGTGTGACCTTACTTCTGCTAAGCAGCCTTGTGATTCTCTTAATCCTGTTAGAGTCAGGAGAGCTCACTGGTCATAAATGAGTGGCTGAACCAATAGCTGCATTCCACCAGCTGGCTCTCTTGAATTAAGCAGATGTTGTTGCTTAGATAACCAACACTATTTTGTGACTTTAG